TTACAAAGACAGCAGCGTGCTGGGCGGATGCTTGTTGCCCATGCCTTTCCCTCTCGTGTACCCGAGCCCAAACGCCGCGCCTTGCATCTACTTCTCCAACACTGGCAAGTACTTTGGCCTGTTTGGTGCAGACTGACGAGTTCCTCTGTTGGGGACCTGGCATTGTGTGGACAGTCCGACATACAGTTAGCACTATATTGGCTTTAGATGAGCTTTTTTTATTTATACATTTTATTTTTTTGTCTGTTTTATTTTGGAAACAATTCTCCTAACTATGATCATCTAATCCTAGAAATGCATGTGACACTTTTTCTCCTCCTCTAATGTTTTTATTATTATTCCTCCTCCAAGAAATGTTCATGCATTAAAGTTGCTCTGAGCAGTTTTACTTTTCATCTGAATGAATGTATGTTAACGTCCTTCGGAGTAATGCAATAGTAATAATAATAACAATAATAATAATAATAATAATAATAATAACAGCCTGTTGTCATTTTCCAGCCTTTGTGTTGAAATGTGGAGAAACATTTAATTTGTATTTATATGGCCTTATTATAAATGCTAACACCTTTCATTAGTTTTCATAAGACACACGGTTGAACTGTGAATGCAGTTATTATACCACGACAATAATGATTTTTGCAATAAAACGTGTTAATGTTTGTTTCTTGCCGAAGTGCGTCGACTCCGACAAAGACGGTTTAACAAATGAACTTCCACATTTTTACTTTTTTATTGCATTGCACAAATTCTAAGGGTCCAATTCAAAGTCTTTTACCAAGCGTGCACATCTCTGTTGGAATAAGAAAGTTAGAGTTTAGATTTTTCCTGCTTCCTTTAAAAACTAAAGTTCACAGTTCGGTGGTAAAATGAACCGCGATGGAGCCAAAACGTGCACAGCGTCGTGCACAATCCGGAAAAAAAAGCTTTTTAAGAGGCAAATACTCAGGGTCTGTGAATCCCATGTATCTTGAAAAGGCATTTAGACATTTAAGTCTATACTCTCAGCCTCCTCTGCTCCATCCATCAGGGATCTCATATTAACACTTTGAATAATTCTACTCCCTAAGTGTCTTTGTTCAGACTGATGCAAGTTCAAGGAAGCATATTAAAACCAGTATTCATCATTAGGACATTTGAAGCTGCAAAACTTGTCCGAGTGGATTAGAAAACGTCGATACTCCCAAATATAATTATTGAACACCACAGATGATCACATATCCAATAAATGTAGTGTGAACTCTTGTAGAAACAGCAGCAGCTGAGCAGGAACAGAACATGAAATGGTTAAAAACATGGGTACAAATAGCAGTTTAATCAATACAGGCAGAAGCTACAGCTCAAACCAGAACACTATTTTTAGATATTTTATTCTAGGTGAGGAAAAAAAAAGGCAGGTCAAGTGTCAAAACACCACTTTAATAAACAGAATGTAGGAAAAATATATTAGTTTGGTTCATGTATACAATGTCTCAGGTTCAAGCAATTCATGATACATAAAATATCATTTACTATTAAAAATGTTATTCTTAAATAAAGTCTGGATAAAACTTAAGATTGCCCACTGTTCTTTTTTGGTTAGACAGAAAACTTCCATTTACACACGGCAGTCAGAAACGTTCCTATCACACACCAAGTCACTCGTATCAAACAGGTTTACCGTTTGAATTCTGACTCGTAGTGAGAAGGTCGTGATTCTTAGTTGCTCTACATGTGAGAAAAGTCAGGTTCTTTGGCCCAAGAGACCAAGAGGTTAATGAAAAGTCACAGTCACTGTACATCCACTCATGTTTCTTTCTAAACACTGAAAATCTGCTGCAATAAAAGGGGTTACGTGAAAACTCAATGTTTTCTCTTTGCCATTAGCGAGCACACGTGTGCACCAGTGCAACTCTGTAATGCACCTCTGCAGAAAGCGCACGAGAAATAAGAGAAATGTATATTTAGGTGGAGTTGCATCAGTGCATCTAGAGAGATTCTTCCTAAAGGCCCCAGTAAGCTGCACTTCCCCCATCAGTGCTGGAGAATCTCGCTCCGTCCTCCCTGGCACAGCCGTTCAAGGCCCTGTCACCGTTATCCTGCTCACTCAAGCACTTAGACTGCCTGCAAATCTGATGTGCTCTCTGCTACGTTCCTGTCCACGTTTGCTGTGCATGTAGAGCTGTGCTCTATCTGCCGGATGCCGTTTCGCACAAAAGAGTTGTTGATGCCAAGTTCAGGATCATTTATGAAAACTGTGTCTAAACAAAAAGACAAAAATGAAATAAGCCCAATAAACGTTACAATTATAAAACAATTCAAAGGACTTTTCAAACATTAATACAAAAACTTAGATATACACCTTTTTACTTACATATTTTGTGTATTATAACAAATTCAAGCACCTTTTTTGCTTTTACTTGGGAGCAAAGATCTACAGCAGGCCTAAACTAAATACAATCAGTATTAATATAGATATCTATATAGTTTTGTGAATGTGTGTCATATAGTTGGAACTATCTGTTCACATCTAGGGACACAAATCCAGTCCCCACACAATTATTTTAATGAAATATTAAATGTTCTGTAAAGGTGTAACTGAAAACAGAACCTTTCTTGTCTAGTCCTCATTTGTCTGTTCATGTACTTTTAACATCTGTGCATTTTCCAACGCAGCGTTAGACTAAAAACATTTGTAAAAGCAAAAAAACATTCTTATTTTGAAGGTCGGACTTTAAAAACACACTGTGTTATTCATACAGTACAACTCAAATCTATTTATACAGACTTAGCCCAAAGATTATGGATTTTTTTTTATTCTTAGTATTTTTTGTATTAATTCTTGTGCGTGAAAATATTTTCCAAGTTTACATTTTCCAGGTTCAAGGACTTGTTGTACATTTGCATGATCAGGTCTGTGCTCGCAGGCGTCACACGTTGTATTGAACATTTACCTGTAAACTCTGTAGTGCACGTTTAGCTCAAGTTTACCAGCACTAACAGACCTAAAAGTTAATGTGAAACATTACTAGTGTAGCACTAGTAATTAATAAATCTGATTTTGTCATTTTATGGTGTTAATTGTGTGTTTTTGGTGGAGCAGTGACACTTTGCTATAACATAAATTGCCAACAAAGGCCTGAGTTATATATGCTGCAATTATGGTTAATACAAATGTCCTCACAGGCTTAGTAGCACAGGCTGGTGTGCACTAAGGTGCCCGCTTGGCGTGC